GCCGCCATCTTCCCAGAACCTCTAACTTTTTATTTTGATGTAAGTTCAGAATCACAGAAAAGTTGTAAGAGTAGTACACAGAATTCCCATATATTCTTTGAGATTCCAAAAATGTTGAAATCTACTTACATATACTTCTTAATTTCTTCAACCACTGTCTTTCTCTTTGCATCCATTAGAGAGGTATCATGTGAGGATTATTTACTGAAATTAAATGAAAAAGTAATGAACCAATTGTTAAACTAATTTTAAAAAGCTAGGAGAATACAACTAAAAAAAGATGAAGGAGAAATTAGCATGTTCCCTAAATTCAGATATGAATATTATGTACATAGAACCATCAATTACTTTATCTAAAATTCTCTACTGATAAGACATACATTTTGAACGAAGAGATTGTCATTATGGAACTCAGTAGCCAAACGTTTAAACTCCTGGATGTTTGATAATACAGAGAGTTGCTCCATCTCAGAACTGTGAGAAACAATTTCATCATAAATTACAGTTTTATGTATCCAGGTGATTGTTAACCAGCCGTAGTTGTTTTAGTTTGTGCATACCTACACAGCCAATTCTAACATCTTTGGGGTACAATAAGAGTAAAATGCATTCACTAATGTAATAGAAAGGAATATGCTTTCTATTTAATTATTAACTTAGGAAAAATGATTGAGAACACAAGAAATCCCTGCTCACATTTTACACTTGATTTCATTATCATCAATACCTCTAGTAGTCTGAGATCATTTATCGGCTTATAAACATCTCTTGAAACCTATTCTGTGCAAAATATGTTTTCTGAAATTGTTCTCTACCATTAGTGGCTTCTTATACAGAATACATGCTGTCAAAATTCCCTTTAAAAAGTGTCTCTGTAAACACACAGATTAGTTTAACAACTACAGCTATTTGCTTATCTTTACTCATCTTCTGCATACGAATACACTTCTGTTTTCTATTATTGTTTACTTACAACTGAAACTTAATTATTTTAAAGTCTTATTGATTCACTGGGTACTCACAAACTAAGTTATCTAAAGATTTCTAGATACCATTTTATGCTACTTTATATTCATAATTTGACTTCTGCTTATGTGATGAGTCTAAAAATAATTGAAAATATGTTTCTAATGCTGATATTCTACTTAAAAGAAACCCAAGACAATAAAGTAGTAGTTTAGAAAGATAGTTCTAAGAGCAACATTTCCATGTTTGTTGGAGCTGGCTCTATGCTGGTAATGCTGATAAAAATGTGCAATTAATTATTCAAATGGTTTCCAAACCTGAGTTTAAATTATGCAAGTAGATTTCAATAAAATCTGCATCATTAGAAAAACATTCAAAAATATTCATTCACCTCATTTTACCTAGAAATACACTACCTGAATTTCAACTGGATGCTAAAACTGCAGTTAGGCCTGTAAGGTCTACAAGACACATATCTGCAAGTTTTGTGGACTAAATTTTGTCTGAAGAGCAGATAGATACCAATTATTTTTTGGCTACACAAGGCAGAATATCTGCAGATATCCTTCAGTGAAACAGAATTTGAATGAAACATTTCTAAGCGCTGAATCAGCAGAAATTTATGCCAGTCCATAGCTTAGTGCTGGGGGAACTTCTACCTGCAGCCCAATGACCACATGATGACCCTAACGGACCTTATGGGACTAGGGAAAGCTAAGCCCCAGGGCATCCATTAGTTCAGCTAAAACTTTAATGTGAAGAGAATGGAATTACCTCACACTCCAATTTAAAAATCAAACAAACAAATAAACAAAAAAAACAGCTGTAATCTAAATTTGTGAGAGGAGCTTGAGGAAACTGAGAAGAGAAGACAGTCACTGAAGAAAGCAGAGGTGCTAGAAAAGAGGGGTAGAGATGGATTCCTGAGTCGGATGGGCAAGGACATTCACCTGGTATTCCTGACTTTGTTCCTCTGGAAGAGCAAGCACTGTTTTCGTTTGTTTCTTAGATTCTATGAGATCTTGCTGACCTTAAAATAACACTTCTCTGTATTTTTACTCTATTTTTCATCTATTCTGAAACTTGAATGAGTCTGTTTATTAAAACCAAGATAACAGTGGATAGGCTGAGAGATTCAAATCAGAAAAGACAGGAGACCTATGGGAAAGTCATTGGACTTACTGAGTACATAACTTTTTTATTAAATAGAGCCTAATTTCCCATCACATATGTCCAAATTATGCTAGACTAAGAAACATTAACGTAAAGCAGCTAGAGGGCATCCCATAGGCAAAGTGATTGTAGGAGTGATTTGCAAATGTTATTTATTTATTTATTTATTTATTTATTTATTTATTTATTTATTTAATTTATTCATTCATTCATTTTGGTAGATGTGTACTATCTCAGAAATATTCAGTAAATACTCACTGTTTTCGTTAACATATTGATGATGCTGATAATTACATATTTTCTGCATTTGGTTAATTTATCAAGGCAGGATACTAATGAGGTTATACTTACAGATCGTATAGTTAGCTCAGTTCCATTTAAGTGACCACAGATTGACTTCTCACCTCAATAAGTCACCACTGTTGTGTATCATTAACTGCAATGAGGACTAAATTAAAGTGTGAGATTGCATCTGCAAAATGATGACTACTTTAGAAAAATAATTCAAACCTTGTGCTTTATTTATTATGGGTCACTAGCTTCATCTTTGCGTATGAAAACTAGGATAGTTTATATCTTTCATGATGAGACAGAAAAAAGCAGGCCTTTTTTACATTTTTTTGTCCCTGTGCATTTTCATATAGAAGACTCTTTTTAAAAATATCTTGAAACATAAATTAATCCTTGCTTAAAGTTTGGAAGACTAATTTCTATTTTTTAACAATTACATCAGCCATTTTAATTGTTTTGATTGTCTGATCTAGCTTTTCCATATAATTGCTCTAAGAAGAGACACTAACAATTAAAGTTGCTCATGCAATTAGAATAATTATCTTACTGTTCTAAACTTACAGTAGATCCAGTGGAATTATTAATGGCAGCAGTCAAATATTATGTAAGTAAATTAGATTTTTTTTACCTCCACTGATTTGATTTGTATTAACTTTTTATATTAAAGAGAAGGGAAGTCTGAGAAAAGAGCAGAAATTACAATGAATTATAGAGTAAGAATTTAGTAAACGAAAAGCTTCCAGAAAACTTAAGTCCTGTATTCTTCAAAGATAAAAATGTAATGGGTAGCCCAGGTGGCTCAGCTGGTTAAGCATCCAACTCTTGGTTTGGCTCAGGTCATGATCTCCCAGTTTTGTAGGTTCAAGCCCCCTCGCTGGGCTCTTTAATGACAGTGGGGAGCTGCTTGGGATTCTCTGTCTCCTGAGAGTCAGAAGGTCTGTTCCTCTCCCACTCGCGCTGTCTCTGTCTCTCTCAAAATAAATAAATAAACTTAAAAAAAAGATAAAGCTTTAAACAAATAAAAATTTAATGAACTTCTAATCTCAAGACAATTTCTGAATTACTCATATAAAAGTTGTAGGTGGTTCACCAGGGCTTTATTTAAAGTTGGTCTTGAAAGACTTCAGATTATAACTCTGGGTCAATTTGAATAATGGTAAATATTTATTTTATGGACCAAATAGTATTCTGTAAGAATTTATAGCAAAGTTTCTCAAACTTTCTCAGTTTATGGGGGGAGGTGTCTCAGTATTTCTTTTTCACAATACCCCTAGGGAAAAAAATAGTTCTATTTATTAAAAAGTTAGGTGCAAACAATTTATTAAGCTTTTACATTCTAATAATATCATCCTTAATGAGCATGTGTATCCTTAATATATCACATTATTGTCTTTAAGAAGCATTTATATCTTAATTCCATTTGAAAAATAATGCAGATAAAATAGAAAACAAAACAAAACAAAACAAAACATTGTATTCCTAAATAACCGCTATCACAGATGGGACGTCTGCACCTTTCTACACACACACACACACACACACACACACACACACACACACACACACAAATGAATAAATGGTAAGTAGGTGAAATTCTTGAGTGTTTACCAGATGCTAATTAAGTGAATTAATTCTCCTTGCTACATCTTGAGTTTAAAAAGGAACCCAAATTGTATTATTGCATTAGTCTCTACTTTTTTAAATGTAAAGAGGAAGTTTACATTGTAAATGTAAAGAGGAATGTGGGCAACACATTAAATCAACTATGCTTACACTACCAAATTCCCATAGCTAAGTGCATGTTTTGACCCAGCACTCATTAAATACCTTATTACTGGATCTGAATGACAAGCTCCAGGGAATCTCAAACTTAATACAATTCTTCCCAATCCCACTCTGTAAACTAATGCAACTTCAATTCTGAGATTCATTTTACGAATGGATTTTGTACCTCAGAGAATATTTCTCTTTCTTTAAACCTACTATGTTGTAAGAAAGATGCATAAGTGTACATACACATAATATAGTTTTATGTTTGATTTGACTATAATAGAATATTATAATCACAATAAACCGTTTTTGTGATCAAATATAAGGTAAATCCCTACAGATTATTACATAAAGATTTTTTTCAGGATCTTATACTGGTACACAAAATGTATATATGTAGATATATTATTTGATATACATTGGATTATCTTATACATGTTGTTCGATTTTTCCCTGGCTGGCACAGGGTTGTCAGATTTAGCACAATTTAAAAAAGTAAATATAGGATTTCAGAAAAACAAAAATACAGTTTTGGTATTCTTATGTCCCAAATATTAGATGTTGCATAATTATACTAAAATATTATTCCTTGTTTATCTGAAATTCCAACTTAACTGGGTGTCTTATATTTTATGTGCAACCCTGGTAGGCAGTTTTTTTTAATTTTCTTTTTTTTCTTTCTGTCTGCCTCTAGCTTCCTTGCCCCATCCCTTTATCCATTACTCCACTGTCCTAAACAAGACAACCTATGTCACAATATAAAAAGTAAATCCTTTGAATATTTATTTATTTATTTACTTATCTATCTCTGTATCAGTTTTTATAACAACAATAGCCGTTACTGAGTGCTTACTTTTTAAGGCACTTTTTAAAAGTTTATGTATTTTGAGACACAGAGAGAGAACATGAGCAGGGGAGGGGCAGAGAGAGATGGAAAGAGAGTCCCAAGCAGGCTCCACGCTGTTAGCACAGAGTCCAATGTGAAGCTGGTATCCAAGAACCGT